CTATACAAACCTGATTTGCAGGAGATTTGTGTGAAGCACTCGCTCCCGAAGAATGGCACGAAAGACACACTTCGGCAACGGATCCAACAGTTGATTGAAGACCACGTGAATTGTGAGCACAAGTGGAGTGAACTGAAGAAAGAGATTAAACGCGTCTATAAGGCAAACGACAGGATCAAGAAGTCTCCCAAAAAAGGTGTCGTTTTGTTGATTATATGTCAAGTGTTTTGTGAATGCAATCAATGGTTGTGTTGACAATCAGTTTGACTACACTTTTATGACTTAATGTTTGTGTCATTTGATGACTAATTGTGTCTGATTTGCAGCCAAACTGAAGAAGCCATCGCTTAGTGGTGCGGATAGAGAGGGAGACCACGACTACGACGACTACGCCAGTCATGAGAGCCAATCCCACAACGAGCCCAACGTAGGACTGGACGGCAATCTCTCGGCACCTGTACTTAATATGCCAAACCTAACCACACATATGAATGAATGCAATAACAACTATAGTCTTCTGTCATATTTCAAGTCAACGACACCCCAATCGACGCCTTTCTTTAATGGTGTGTCGTCTCAACCACTACCATATCCACAGTCTAACCATCCGCTCAACTACAGCACTGCAGGGATACCGCCATCGATGACCGCGAGTGGAGTAATGCCTGCAAATCAGGTCCACAATCATAATGTCAGTCATAGCCAACAATTTTATAGCCATACGAATCCATTCCCTCTAATGGGACCCCAGACCGGGGTTCCGCCGCCGCCGCTGTTTAATACCGTAAACCCCAGGCCAGCGTCAGCTCAGCCGGTAGTCAGACACCAGTCGCCCGCATATAACGCCTTCAACTCATTCCCTCCCCATCCGTATCCCCAACAGAACTATCCATTTATGGGAACCAATCATAACAATCATAACAATCATAATAATAATTATTATCACAATTCAAATACCGCTCAAAACTTAAGTCAACAAAACTATTATCAGAATCCGAGTGCTCCTGATCTCGACCTCTTTGACTGTCAAAACCCACAAAACTTTGATCTGTTTGTCAAACAACAGAAGTTCTTAATTCAAATACCGCTCAAAACTTAAGTCAACAAAACTATTATCAGAATCCGAGTGCTCCTGATCTCGACCTCTTTGACTGTCAAAACCCACAAAACTTTGATCTGTTTGTCAAACAACAGAAGTTCTTATTATCTCAATACACGCCGAAACAGACCACCGATGGCGACGATAATGCCGATGATTGCGATCACCCCATAGGCCACGAGTTTTCTTTCAAGGCGTTGCAGTCGTTTACTACCATTAAGAGGCTTTTGGAGGCGAAGACTATAGGTTTGTCTCGCATTTGATAATCCGTTGATTTTTTGATAGTTTAATAATGTGTTGGCTTTTGATAGGATCTATTTCAGACATTGGCTTCAATATAGAGTTCAATATAAATCTGGTGGACTTGGATGCAAATAATTTTAATGCTAATCTGCAGTCGCTTTTGCGAGAAAAGTCTTATCAAATCCAACTGCGGTTTAGTTATATAAGTGATGTTCAAATCAAAGAGCAAAAGGATTGTATTCCAGAGTTCCTATGCATTGAATGCAATAACACTCGTGTCTTCACTTCCTCTCAGGTTTTTATACTGAAAATTACGTAACAGTTAAGGCTTTACTAACTATTTATGTTTACAATTTTCCGTTCAATAGTTTGAAGAGTTGCCTACTCCGGGTCCCTTTGATTTGAGCGAGTGGTGTGTTATGGGGCCAAATAAAGTCAGGTTTTGGATGTCTAAAGAGAAATACACTTTTTTGATGCCCTGTCTCTACGAAGTATCGATCGTATCGTTTGAAACGCCCGAAACATTTCTCTATAAACTTAAGGCAAACGGCACACAATTTCTCGGCTCACAGACAACCAAAGACTTGAGTATTAAAAGACTTAAATGTTATGTAAGACATGAATACTTATAACACTTCTTATAAAACAGTCAAATCCCGTAGCGAACAGCCTTCACACGACGATATCATTATTAGTATTACAAATACAACCACTAAAGTGAAACTCATTTGTCCCGTAAGTATTAGCGTAATAATAATTGTATTGTATTTAAAAAGATTATTATTTGATGAATAGCTGAGCTGTGCTCGCATTGAGACCCCGTGCCGGACAGCCCACTGCAAACACATGGAGTGCTTTGATGCGCATTCGTTCTTTAAGGCCAACGATTGCCGATACGACTGGTTGTGTCCCATCTGCCAGAAAGCGGCTAACTTTGAATTACTCCGAATCGATGGGTATTTCTATACGACTCGGCATTTATAATGAAATAATTAATGAATTGTCGTCTCATTGAATAGTTATTTCAGTGAAGTGTTGGCCAATACTGACGATAACATAACCGAAGTGTTCATTAAATCTGATGCTTCTTATGATGTGATAAATAATGGTTTGTGTTTTGAGATTAAATGCTTAAATTGTATGTCAATTAATGATTGATTGTTGTTTTAGTGGCAACTGGTCTGCAAGTGATAGAATTGGATGACTCTTTAGATGATTTCGAGTGCAGTGTTATCGATGCCGACGGCTGTATAGTAATTGATTGAAAATTAATTGCACTTAATTTGGAAGTTTTGTTACATATATCTATTTGTATGAATTATTTTTTCATATTTTTAAGCCATTAAAAATTTTGTTTATTTTAATAATAAATATTTTATGAGCAATATTTGCTAATCATAGTACAGGTTACTGTGTAATTGATTTACTAAATCGAGTAATAAAGTTAAATTATACGATATTTGATGACAATTTTATTTATACCGTATAAATAATACATTAAAGTTTAATTTTGTAACAATTTTTATTATTTTATTCATAAAACAACTATTTAAAAATATAACTTTCAATTGACTTACATGTACAGTATGTTTTAAAAATAATTACCGCAAATGGCATTTCATTTTTCAATGATACAGTATATGATACCTAAAGTTGATGTCCTAAATGATATGTAAAAACTTTAGGCCGTACTACAAAAGTGAGGCAAATGTTATTACGTTTAATTAAATACTGATTCATTATGACCGTAAT